TGAACAGTCATCTGGAATATCAACAATGCTACCACGACGACCGTTTTTGCTATCTTCTCTTCTTAATTGCGGAATCCCTGGATGATTCAAAATCTGGGAGACGAAACAGACAGTGAGGATTCAGAATACGAACAAACGGGAACAAAATAAATTCTCCAGATGGGCTTATCAGTTATTCATTTTTTTCTTCCCATATCAGTTATTAATTTAAGCACTAGCAAGACATTCATCACATTTATACCTGAGCCAAGACCTGGTAAGCAGCAAAAAAGTTTTTTCTCATCCTTTCATCTGTTCTTCCAWCGCTGAACCCATACAGCTTAAGAAATCTCTTATACAATTTCRGCTGCAAYGGTGATAGCTTGACAGATATTACGAAGACAGTTTTAGGTGGRAGATCCTTTTTCACAACATTCWTGTCCATTCTTTGTACAAATCCTTTCAGTTGCTCATACAGGATGTGTGATCTCTGGTTCATAATTTTCACGTCCTCRGCAGTTGAATTCATATGCTGTCCGTTTTCTATTGGATTTTGGAAGCTGCAGATATGGGGAAGCACGATTAAAACTCTAGAAAAATAACATCATCACAGGCAGCYGAAAAAAACACTTGTATGAAAGACTTACCGATTTCTAAACTCAGGGCTACTCCCGAGGAATCCTTCTCTTACAAAATCAACCATCTGTTACAGTAAAGATAACTTATGAAACTGGGAATGAGAAAAAATTAGTTCAAAAGTTTCTATGGTTCCTTCAGTAACTTACACAATAATATTCCAGGAGATTGTTTTGAAGGGGCGACCCGGTTAAGGCAATTCTTCGCTGGCATTTAACTTGTGTCAATGCTTGCGTTGTGTCAGCCCTGGTGTTCTTGATAATGTGAGCCTCGTCGCAAACCAGTATATCAGGTCCCTCCTGCAGCCACATAGGTAAAGGGGATTGCAAGAATAAAACACCGCAAGCATTGGAACATGGAAAAAAAAAAAAGAATGTACAAGGAAAATCATAAACAAGAGAACATAAAAACAGAAGAATACTCTATGACACAGAAATGCATTAAAATAGGCATCAGAATTCACAGAAGGACCTAAACAAGAAAGATCAACCTTCTTTAAAAGATAGAAATCAATCAATTCTACCAGAGAAATTACAGTCTCACCCTCAAGGCGTTACCCCCCCTCCCAAGAAACAGATTTCTAAAAGCGGCATACCCCATCAAGAAGACTCCACCCTTATTTCGCCACTTCMTTAGCAAGTCCAATCTCCTCTCCCTTKAAAAAAAGACATTAGCGCAGGAAGTGAGCTGACAAACTGTCACCAAAAATACACCTTAAATAGGCCAAAATAAGTGCCAAAATCGAAGTATTAGATATAAGGACCATTTTGGCAGATTAGTGGGAAGTTAAGACAGCTGAGATCCTGTGTAGTTGGACGAGAGGGATTGCATCAATATTCTTTTGTTAGGGACACGGTCTTATAGCTTTCGTAAAATTAATGTTCAGCAGTATTACGAGCACACAGGTTTAGACTACCCAACCCTCATTTTTAATCTCTTAAGACCCAGAACAACATACGAACACATACATCTAATCTCCTGAATCGCAAAGTACTACACATACAAGCCTTTCATTCTCGTATGATCTATCACAACAAACATTAAGTTTGGAAGCATGGAAAATCCGCAACCAAAAGCTTCTTTCATAGAAGAATCTATACCTTGTTCAAGCATGAAAATGCGAAGTGGTTTCACTTCTGAAGGCCTCCACTTCATAAACTCACTTCGCCAAATGTGCAACACATTTACAGGAGTCACAATAAGAGCAGTTTTCAACCCTAAATCAATACATCTCATTGCCGTGTACAGGAACGCTATAACCTGATGGATTACAGTGAGGGAAGAGATAAATAGCCAGTAACCGTAGATATTATATTAAGGATTAATGATTACTAGTATGCACTAATAAAATGAGATGATAATAAGATACATGCAAACAGGCTCGTGCATGAAAAAAAAGTTAAGCACCTGAAAAGTTTTGCCCAGGCCCATTGTATGTGCTAGAATGCACCCAAGACCTTTATCACCAGACTTCACTCTGCTAATAGACTGAATAATATTTTCCCACATAAATCTAATCCCTGTTACCTGAAAATAGAAACCAACAATGTTACAGCAAAAGWWATTTCACAATAAGCATTTCTAGATGAGATGGGTATGTTTAATGCCCACTAGTACAGGTGACAAGCGAGATGGYAGTATGATATGAAGATAATTTAGGCTRKGCAAGGGATGCACATATGTATATGCTAACCTGATGGACTTTTAGTTMGGCAGATATGCTACGAGGAACTCTCACAGCTTCTTCACCAATCTCCCTAGCCACATTCACTATGTAACCACTGTGAGCATCACCAAGAACCTCAGTTTCCGCACCTTCTGGAATAGCCATAGAGCCAACTGTTTTGTATCTGGCAGAAAACTGCAAGGACCTAAGGCGCTCCTGTCGTTCCTACAAAAAGAAAGAWCCAAATGTACAATGAGCATTAATAAAAAACTAYAAACATATTTCAGTTAYTAAACCAGTATAACAAAAGTAAGAGTCGAGAAAMTTAACACCTTCTCAATTGCAATTTTTCTTCTCGTATSTTTCCCTAGTTCAGCATCATCAATTATCCGCCGAATTTTCTTTTTTGATTTCTTCTTTGAGCTAAGAGAKAAAAACTCATGCAKGTAAGAAAAATAACACAACAATACTAATTAAAATTAGTTGGAAACATGCAGGAGTTTATATCTAGTGAATATGTATGTAATAATACCTTATTGCTACATTGGC